TATTACCATCACTTCCACTGCTTACTGGACTGTTAGAGGACATTTAGGGATAAATAAAAGCACAGAACACTGAGAGCTAGGACTGGTCACTAAACAAACTTTATGGGACCACGGGAAACTTGACCACACCCATGAAAAGTGGACATCCAGCTAACTAAAATCATTCCGAACAACGGATATTTTTGGACCAGAGAGTTCTGGATTAGAGAGGTTCAACCTGTACTTCCATCCCAAATTGCAACAAAACCCTGAAACCTTAAAGTTTTCCATGGAACTACTATTTCAATATGTAGCTTCACAAACAACTCTGGAATGTTCCTGGTATGGGAACATATCACGCTTCTATAAACAAAATTGCTGTTCTCCTGGGGACCCCACTACACAGGGAGTCCCAACTACACAGCAGCCCACCAATATGGGCAGCGCCAGCTCCCCAAGCACCAAATGGCCTGCTGCAGAGAACTGGACATAGAAAACCTGCCTAGTTTATATCAGAAACCTACCCGATTACTGTTGGAAGTTTCATCAAAATTGACACATTCTGCAGCAGCATGTCAATTTCTATAAATCCATATTTTCCAAAAGAAACAAATATTGTTTTGGAAAATTTCCAACCAGCGCTAGTTGGGATATATTTTGGGTCCTGGTAACGCTATTTAACTGGTCCCCAAGTAGAGTTTGTTTTGAAACTTTATTTGTTGAACAGAAAAATAAACCCCGACCATCAGTTCCTGTTTAAAATTATTTACAAGCAATTTTCCAATTTAGCTAGTCTTTGTTAAGTGATATATCTGTTTAAATATAACATATAATGGGGTGGCCAAACTGTGGCTCACACGGCACCTGTAGCTCTTTCACCATTCAAGTGCGGCTCACTGAGTCCCCTATTCCACCCACATTCTACATCTTACAGGACTGGGCAGAAGATCAGGACTTCTGCCTTGCAGCAGGTTGCGCTGATAGGGGCTTCTGTCCAGTGTGTGGGCGGGTCTTGCTGCTTTAGCCTTGTGGGGCACACCTGCCAGGGTTTGAAGCTTCAGCAGAAGCAGGGCGAAGCTTCAATCCCTGGCTCCTGACAGATGTGCCCCAGCTCTCCAACTTCAAAGATTATCATATGTGGCTCAAAGTAGTAGTTCCCAACCGCTGGTCCACGCACCAGTGCCAGGCCGTGGCACACTGCCAGTTCACACCCATACCAACTGCTCCAGGACCGGGGCTGAGGTATTCCCCGGGCATGTGGTCAACAACTGCTGTAGCTGGCTGTTCGCTGCAGCTTTGGGGGCTGGGGCATACCCCGCCCTCCCAAGCCCAATGCACAGCAGCCAGCTTCAGCTCTGGTAGTCACCACATGGTGTTGTAGATATCAGCAAACTCTGATCTTAATGATCGTATGCAAATGAATTTGCATAATTAATATGGAAATAAAATGTTACTGGTCCACCAAAAGTTTGCCAATGGCTTTGTCAGTCCATGGTAAAAAAAAGGTGGCCAGTAAGTTTGGCCATCCCTGGCATATAAGGAAAACTGGCAAAGGTTCACAAAGAAAGTATAATATTAAAGATAACTTTAATAGACCTCATCCTATTAGACCATGAATATTTTGCAAGCTACATTATTAGGTACAGTTTAATTCACCACTAAAATGCAGATTCTGATGGTACAGCACACACAGCAATTGTACATGCCAGTTTAGAACAGGAGCAAAAAAATGCCATATTCACTTGAAACTGCAATGGGAATATTGGTAGATGAAATTTATTAAACTAACCACCAATGATTGGGACCGCCGTGCTAAAAACATTTGTAGTTGCCATACTCTCTACCTCCTACTTTCATTCCATCCCATTAGGAACTACCATACTGAAATACTAAACAGAGTTACAGAGCATTTTAATATATAGAAAAAGTAAAATCAACAACAGATTTAAAATAAAGGTTTTATTCATGTTAAACATTCTTGTATTCTATTTTCTTCAAGACCTAGATATTATATGCTAGGGTTACCGTATCTGAACTTTCAAAAAAGAGGACACACCTGAGAGGAAGTGTATCTGTAACAGTATCTACAAGCTGTCAATGTGAGTTGGTAGATACTGATACAGATACACTCCCTCTCAGGTGTGACCTCTTTTTTGAAAGTTCAAATAGATAACCCTATTATATGCAAACTATAAAATGATCTGAAAAATAGAAACTGTAAATTGCTGCCATAGATTTACAGCTTTATGACTATGTGACTACATAAATGAAGACTCACATCTTCCTCTATTCACCATACTGTAGTTGTAAAAACATGCCTTCTGACTCCCCAAAGGAATGGGACAATGACAAAATATGTTTTCACTAAGTATTGGCTATTCTTACTTTCTCATCTCTTTTACTTGTTAAAATAGGCTTCCCACATTATTTCAAGAAAGAGGCACAGATTTAATACCTGTCTCTTTAAATTTAATTATTGACTGTGTATTGAGATATAAATATACAAAAAGATTTGAAGGATATATTGTGATCCTCAAGTAAGAGAGCAAACCATTATTTATAATCATTGGATTTTTTGTATTAATCTGAATGTGTCTAAATATTGCTAAAGAAGAAAGGCAAGTGTGCCCACCCTATTGCTACAAAAACTAAAGTATGTTCTAAACTTACAGCTGAAGCAGAAGTTTGAAGAAACCACTACTGCATGATGGCTTTGCCTTTCAATACTGAAAGCACTTTCTTTCTGTTCTCTTGCCCCACATGGGGAAAAGCACAGTTCTGCTCTGAGCTGAGTACAGTACAAATTGTCTGTTTATAAATATGGTAATAAAAATCTCATTTTGGTGTTCACCTGACTACAGCTAGAATGAATTAAAAAAGAGGAATGGGAATGTATTTACTACAAATAAATTAATGAATCTGTTGTCTGTGGGGACATTTACATGTCTAACTTTCAGTGACTTAAAATGGGAATTAGGAGCCTCACGGCTATGCGTGCTTTTCAATGACGATAAGGTATGTCTCTACAGCAGCTGAAAATGTGCTTCCCAATGTGTCCGCCTGTGCTAACTACACTCTGGATCACACAATAAAAACACCGTGGTGCAGCACCGGCACCTGTACACATCCCCAGGATGTCGGGCGAGTTTGTACTCAGAGTTAGCCCAAGCCACTGTGACAGCAGTATTTTAGTGCACTAGGTCAAGTCGAGCTAGTACATTTGTCTACTAGCACATGGAAGCATCCTCGCAACTGCTATACACACATATCCCTAGTTACCTAATGCCTAGCGACACTACTAAAGTGATTACTCGTTGCATGTGTGAACATATTACAGGTAAAGATGCTCACTGTGTAGTATAAAAGAATCCGATTAAATAAAGAGATCTGATTATTATTGTATAATGTTTCTCATACCAGAACCTTCCTGTTGTAATGTTTGTTAGGTCTCTGATATTTATATGACTTGCTAAAACTTTTCAAATAGGTTTAAAACTCAATTTGTTCTATTCTGATATGAATATAATCAATTGTAATACACTCGAGGTGCATTACAAATATAACTCCCTTTAGTGACACTAATTCTCGTCCAGCCATAGTCCTCTCCTAGGCTACATCTAGACTGCAAGCCTCTTTCGAAAGAGGCTTTTTTGAAAGATACTTTTGAAAAAGAGCATCTAGACTGCAACCTCTTCTTTCGAAAAAGTGAGCCACTTTTTAAAAAGAGAGCACCCAACCAGTCTGGATGCTCTCTTTCGAAAAAGCCCTGTTTGCATTCAAGACCGCCTTTTTTTGAAAGAGCACTTTCGAAAAAAGGCGTTCTTCCTCGTGAAATGACGAGTACCGCTGTCGAAAGAAAAGCCGCATTATTTCGATTTAATTTCGAAAGAACACGGCTGTAGTCTAGATGCAGGTGAAGGTTTTTTTCGAAAAAAGGCTACTTTTTTCGAAAAAGCCCTTCAGTCTAGACACAGCCCTAGTGGATTCTTTCCCCACAGATGGAGGGGAGGAGAAAACTCAGTGAATTTTCACTATCAGGAAAGCTTATTCACCCTTCCATCATTTCGGCAACAAACGAGGCTCCCAAGATCTGCAGATGTGTGGTGCCTCTACATAGCTACCTTCATGGATCATCCCTACACAAGGCTATGTGACAAGCCATGCTTCCCTTATGTATCTGCTTCTATGTTTAGGAGGCACAGAAGATGTTATAAAATACTTCTAGAGCAAAATTAACATCCACCGTGGCTAACGGGAATGCTTTATTCTTACGATGTGGTTGCCTGAGCTTGTTGCCAACAGCCTAGACCCAGTCAGGCCAAGTTCTAAACAACGTGTTGGAAAGACCATGCCAGTTAACTAGTCACCCCAACTGCCCCATTGCCAAAATCCTCTTGTTTAGCAAATATTTATAGCAGAGCTCTGTGATAAGATCTTAGGCTTCCTTATTTTCATTAAAAATACCTATTACCAAACAGAAGTGATTCAAAGATTTACTAACGTGTGCGTGTATAATCTGAATGATGCATTCATTAGCCTGGCTTTGTACATTGCTTGTCCAGTGTTTCAGTGGGGTACAAAAGCGCCATAACTAACCGCAGAGCATCTTTGGCATTTGAAGACCCTGTGACAAACGTGCCACAAAGCCTCGCTTTTCAGCCCACGCGGCTTTATTCAAACCGCACGCGTGAGCCTCAGCGGGGCTGGGATGCAGCCCCAGGCAGGCGCAGCTCTCAGCCTAGTGTGGGCGGCGGCCGTGCCGGGCGCCTCTTTCCAACAGAGGGTCCCGCGGGGGCAAGTCGGATGGCTCGGGGATGGCGCAGGCGAGCTGGCCCAGGCAGCGAAGGGCCCAGCGCTCAGCGTGCGAGGGCTAAGGCAGCTCCGGCAGGATGCGCGCCCCGGCGCCGGGGGGGCTGGAAAGTCTCGCCCCGGAGACGCCGGGCAGGGCGGGGAGAGCCGGGCACCTAGGTGAGGGAAGCAGCCCTGCCCGGCGCCGTGGGGACCTGCCCTCTCTCTGGTACCTGGCACTGGCTTAGCTCCTCAGCCAGGCTCCTGAGCTCTTCCTCCAGCTCCAGCACCCGAGATGCTGCGGCCATGCTCGGACAGCAGGTCGCCGTTCTGGGCCTAGGGGAAGGGGTCGCGCCCCATCTACCCGCCCGCTCCAGAAAAAAAAAGTTGCCGTGAACCACGCACATTAAACTATCCTGCTTCCCTGCCGTCCCCCTCCCCCATAATAATAAGTAGGCGCGGGCGGCGCCGGGAACTGCAGAAAGAAGGACGCAGCGCGATGACGACGGCGTCCGTTTAACGGACAGCTAAAGAGGAAGGGGTGAGTTGAAAAATCCGTTCGTTTTCGAGGGCTCAGCGGTCCTCAATCGCGCATGCGCGCTTCTTTTCGCGCCGTTCGCTTCGCCTTCTCGCGGTCCAGGCCTTAGCTGAGCGGCCGCGCCGGCCTGGGGCGCCCCTCCTCTAACTGCTACTGGGCGCTACAGTTGGTGGGAGCCGAGCCCACGGGTGGCTGGGTCGCGCGCGGCGCAGGTCCCGGAGCTGGGTGTTTCCAGCGCTCCGCGCCCTGTCAGGATCCCGCTGGTTTGGGTGCCCTGGTGCCGCTAGATTTACCCTCTGCTCCAGCCGCACAGCGCGGGGGCCGGTGGCCAAAGCCAGCCGCGTCCCGCTGGATCCCACCGTTCCCGTCTCAAGGTTGCCATTTTGCGGAATTGACGTGCGGTGCCCCCAGCTGGCAGCCTAACCTTTGCTAGGGGGTGATTTGGCTTGACTCGAGGCAGGAGGTGCTATGTGGCAGCAGCCGCTCTGGAAGTCGATGGGTTCCCTTAAACCTCCCCATCTCTCCTAGGTTGGAGGGGGATCCACGTGGAGTTCGGCCACGAGTGCACAAGATGTCAATGCAGCCATGGAGATGGGTATCCACCAACGGTTTGCATACACATTGCCTCAATGTGTTTGTCCCGAGCAGGGGGACGTTTGTGAATGCATTGCACAACGTGCAAGTAACAGTCTTCATCTCACCAAAGGGCAGAGGCAGGAGGTCGGCAACATGCAAGTAACATTCTTCATCTCACCAAAGGGCAGAGGCAGGAGGTCTGCTTTAGTTAGCAAAAACCCAGTTCAGGCAAAAATGCCATTATCTGTAATGATGATTTTCTCAGAAAAGCAGCGATAGATCAGACTTGAAATAAGTGTTTCTCCTTGCTCACTCTTTCTTATCCCAAATGGGGGAAATTGACAGATCTTTACCCCTTAGCCTGATATTTTTATATTTGCATTCAAGCGCCTTGATAAACTGTTCTGATCCATCAAATTGCCTGATATTTTTATATTTGCTTTCAAGCGCCTTGATAAACTGTTCTGATCCATCAAATTTCTAAATAATGCAAGGGGTTCCTTTGATAAGCCTCCCATGGAAGAGTCTTATTTCTGGAATAAGAAAAAGGTATGACTAGCATGAGTCTATCACATGTTTCCAAAAAGCCATCTCAGAGCAGCTATATTTACAGCCACTCACAGCATGAAAAGAACATCAGCATATACAAGATTCTTATTCAAGTCCAAATAATTCATTTTATTTTGAATCAATTTCTGGTGACGTGCAGCGTAACATAAATTAGGTTTTTCCTGTACAGATTCTGTTCAGTAATGTCATTTTAGGGGTGTGTTTTTATTACATTTCTATACAGTACTTGCAAAAGCACTAGATGAAGACCAAGTAATACCAGCATAAAAAGTGCTTTTGCCAATTAGCAAGAGTATTTTCTTAAGTACAGTCTTCATAGAAACAAAACATGATGACATCTACTGGCAGCCTCCAATGCCACAATAATTCAAGAAGAAAATCCACAGAATTGTAACAGTAATTTTCTTTTACATTAAAAGTGCTATTCTACTAACAAGTTTTATTTTAAAAGTCTGCTTTTTGCCAACTCCCCTTTCCCCTCCTCTTGCTATGGGCTACAAAGCAGTCCAGCCAAAACCACAGAGAAGTAACACCTTAACGTCTGTAATTAGTAGAAACCAAGGCTGTCTCTGATAATTGTGTAGAAAGTCATAAAACTAGGGATATTAGTTAGCATGTAATTAAATAGTCACGTAATAGCATCAAATTTTAGCAGTTACACGACTGTTTGATAGTCCCCGGGGGGCAGGCCAGCAGCCAGTGTGCTCCTGGCCCCACTCCCAGGGAGCTCCCTGCAACCTCCCTGGTTGAAAACCAGCTCACCACACAGAACTGCTTCCCCCTGCCATCCTGCACTGCTGCTTCTGATGCAGCAGCAGCATGGGGTGACAGCAGCCCCTGTTCATGTCCAAGCTCCCCTCAGACAGAGGCTACTCCACAGCAGCCGCCCCTGCCCATGGGCATCTGAGCTGCCAAATCACGGCAGCTTACCCGTGTGCTGCCCTGCGCTGCTGCCTCTGATAGGGAGGGGCAGGCAGTTGGAGGGAGCCAACTTTTAAAAGCTGGCTTCCCCCATTATCAGCTCCCCCCATTATCAGCTGCGTCTGTAGGAGGTTGTGGAGGGAGAGGCAGCTCTGCGGAGCCAGCACATGGAGAGCGGAGGCAGCAGGGAGGGGGAGGCAGCTCCATGGAGCCAGTACGTGCAGAGAGCCAGCTTAAAAACTGGTTCCTCATTCATATCAGCTCCCGCCTTTTCCCATCACCGTTGCTGCCTCTTAGCTCCCCACCGGTCAGCTGGCTCCCCACAGCCCCTTGCTTCTACCTCCCCCCCCCCTCCTCCTTGCTGCTTCTGATACAGAAGCTGCAAAGGGTGGAATGTGTGTAGTCGACAGGATTAACAGATAAGATCAGGTTTATTAGTTAATCGTGTAGTCGTCTACAGGTTGACATCCCCACCTAAAACATTTCATATATCATTTCATACCAATCTCAAATATACAGGATACCCTTGGAAATCTACTTATGGGAAACTGTCTTGCGTACATGCTGAATTCAAGATACACTCCTCACCAGTCAGTTTTTTAAAACTAAATATTTGAAAAGGCCTCACACTAGCATCTCTTTGAAATCTGTGCGATAGGGGTAATTTCTCAAGTCTTTTGGTGATAGCAATAAATAAGTATCATGATTATGTGATCTGTTGAAGATATAATAAAGTCAAAATAGAATCTGCTGTGTTCCCTGGGCAGGCTCAAGTGACATAGGATTGCCAACTGTCCTGACAATTCAATTTGTGGCACAGAGAGAGCTAGCTACCCTAAAGTGACATAGGAGGCCTTCAGCACTTTGCAAAGCAGCCAGGTTTATAGTAAAATCTGTTCTCTTCTGCCTCCCACAGATGTCAGGTGCTGGTGGGGTTTTTCAAAGCTGTAGGAGTTGGTGTTAAAAGACTATTGAGGTAACTAGGGCTGTTGAGGCCTGAAGACTCAATCAGACATCAATTTACTAGAAATCATATTTCCAGTATTTTCAGGGTGCCTGAAGACTCAATCAGACATCAATTTACTAGAAATCATATTTCCAGTATTTTCTTTATAACCACAAAGGCTGTCAGTTCAGTCTTTTAAAATAGAATTGTATCTACACTACAGACCCTAAGCAAGCATAGTCTGTTAGTGGAAACAGCCTACAACAACAAATGGAGTTTTTCTGTCAGTGTAAGTACATCACCACCTTGCATGAAGTAAGGTGCATCAGCAGAAGCACACTTTTATTGACTTAGTTGTGTGTACACTGGACAATTTGGTCAGCATAACTATGTAGATCAGGGTGTGTCTTCTTCACTCCCATGATTGATATAGCTCTGCCAATATAACTTTTAAGTGTAAGCCAAATCTTAGATTCTGACATAGTCACATCACTGAGAAACTGCAGCCTTAAGGACACGTCTGTTGTGCAGTGTAATAAATCAGAGTATGAGGAGGTAAACAAACCCATGGTAGCACCAGGGAAGAAGGAGGTTAATAACCTGCCTTGAATATGGGGCTGATGTTGGCCCTACCAAACAATACTTGCCAGCAATATCGAGACTTCCAGCTGGAGGTAATTAAAATAAGTGAAATAGATCATGAATTTAGTAGATGGGCTGAGAGTAGCCAAACCTTGAGATTAGATTTTGTGTTTCCTAAACTGGGATTTGTTTCTTAATAAATCTGAATCCCACAAAGGGGGTCAGTGTTGACCCTACTTGTGTTGCATAGATAGTTTCATAAAATAAGTAGGAAAGCCACCTGGTCATAGAAGAGTTGTTTGGAAAATGAAAGGGTGGGGATCTGCATTAAAGCTCTGAAAGGGCATGAAGAGGACATGGCCACCCAGGCTGAATGCACAAGAGATGATATCTTTCATAACCAGAGGAAGGGCAACTGGAAGGGACAGCAGAAACTAGGACCACACAGACTTCATGTATCCAGTGAACGCATGAGACCCTTCTTAGCCCTAGGGATAGCGCACCCCCACACATCCTTCACCCTTACCGGGCCATTCTGGGCAGATATCCCATGATCCACAAACACACCCAAGAACCCCACAGTACACCCATCTTATATATTAAAACATTGGACTGAGTCAAGATTTACACTGACATGTACTGCTATAAAACTTGGTGAGTGTTCAAGTAGCAATAACCCTCAGCACCCTCTACATGTAGGATCTTCCATAGAATCACAGAATAATAGGACTGAAGGGACCTTGAGAGGTCATCGAGTCCAGCCCCCCGCCCTCAAGGCAGGACCAAGCTCCGTCTACATCATCCCTGACAGATGTCTATCTAACCTGTTCTTAAATATCTCCAGAGAGGGAGATTCCACCACCTCCCTTGGCAATTTATTCCAATATTTGACCACCCTGACAGGAATTTTTTCCTAATGTCCAATCTAAACCTCCCCTGCTGCACTTTAAGCCCATTACTCCTTGTCCTGTCCTCAGTAACCAAGAGGAACAAATTTTCTCCTGCCTCCTTGTGACACCCTTTTAGATATTTGAAAACCGCTATCATGTCCCCCCTTAATCTTCTTTTTTCCAAACTAAACAAGCCCAGTTCATGAAGCCTGGCTTCATAGGTCATGTTCTCTAAACCTTTAATCATTCTTGTTGCTCTTCTCTGTACCCTTTCCAATTTCTCCACGTCTTTCTTGAAATGTGGCGCCCAGAACTGGACACCGCCCAGAACTGGACACCATATCAAAAACCTTACGAGTGTGTAGTTAGTGATGTCTTTTTCTTCCCCAATCAAGGTGAATCCCTTTTGGGGTTTTCGGTCTGGTAAGTCAGGCTCATTTTATTTATTAAGAACATATTTAAAGAAAATGATAAATCATTGATTTTTATTCTGTTGTTGCAGTAACACATTTTTAGACTAAGACCCATAGCTTTACCTCAGTTTAGCACCAATATGAATGGTTTATGTCAGGGATAGCCAACCCATTACAGACAAAGAGCTAAAATAATGATGGATACAGCACAAAGAGCTGAGGGAAAGAAGTTGTTGAGGAAAAAAAAAGCTGCCCCTTTAAGAGCCCTGTGTGGCCCAAGCAGGCTTCCGTCAGCCACAGCGTCAGATCTCACTGCCACAAGCCGCACCCAGACGAGACAAGGAAAAAATGTCAGAGCAGGGGAACGCAGAACAGCCATGGGTGCGGGAGCCGCAATTTTTCCTTTTCCCTTCACAAGCCGCAGGTTGGCCACCCCTGGTTTATGTGATCCATCCAGCAAATGTGCTTTCTCAGTATGTTTGGACATAGCCAGTACATCCTTTCCTCCAATTCAACAGTTTTGATTTTGTGAGGTGCTGTGTGCTCTCAAATCCAATTAATGACCGGAGACAAGCTATTGGTTTTGGCAAGAGACAGATTTAGAAATAGATACTTCAGACCCATGCCTAGAGGTTTGTCTCTTGGAATCACATTATTATGTTAGAATTTAGCTGAAGGGTCTGAACTGTCCCTTACATCATAAGGTGTTATCTCTGTTGTGTGGAATCCAGCAAACACCTACCCAATAGAATATTTTGTGTGTGGTAGGAAAAGAGTACTACAGCCTAATCCCACTCATCCAAGCAAATTCACCTCAGGTACTGGAGTAAATACCAGAGGCCTGGCTGCTACTATTCCTTCCTTTCTGAAATCCTGGCTGTTGCTCTTTCAGAGATAGCATGCAACCATGACCTAGGTATTGGGAGGTAAGGTGTAGGCCTTGCTACTACCACTTGAAGTGTGTAGGGGGACACAGCAGAAGTGGGGAGCATGTAGTTGAATCACAGTGCAGGTCCCAGTGTTG